ATATGAATTCCCTTCTTGGGCTAATTCTCCCCAGATCTGTGATCCTAATCCTGATCACCCCTCCTCAACTGCAGCTATTTTGAAGGAGAAGAGTAGACACATTAAATTTAATTCATGCACCATCTGGTTTGGTCGAGTGGCAACTGTAAAATAAAGTGATGCATTCAGACACTACGCAGGAAGAAAATTGAAAGATTTTTAAGGATTTACTTTACTACCCAATTACAGTAATTTTCAGATCAAGCTTTCAGTACATATATTTTATATATGAATAATGTCTTTCCTAGTTCAAGTATTTTAAGGCAAGTACTTTAAAAGCCAACTACATCAAATACTTCTTGCTAACTTTTGATAGTCAAGGTAATAAAAGTGTCAGTTCATGCAGGCAGTAAGACTTATTAGCTTGTTCAGAGAAGTGTATCAAAACTCTACACAAAATACTGTTTTGTATTTCTCAGTGGAAGTCAGCCATTTTTGTTCTCAAGTGTTTTCCTTCTCCCTCTACCACATTCACTATTCCTCCCATCTCTCCCACTGTTTAGCTGTGGAGCTGATTATATTTCGGTCAGGAGACTGCCTTGTCAGGGTCAGCAGAAAGTACATCACATTTTAAAGCTTTGGTAACAAAAAAAGTGATTATATGGTAATTTCCACTCAGCAGAGATAGAAATGACTTGTCACTTGACCTAGTAGCGCCTCTGACTGAGTAGGAAAGAGGAATTATAACTGCAACTTTCATGTACATATTACAGAACTGTCCCTACATTCAGACTCTTCTTAACACATTAACTGGGCACAGAAAACCCACCTCTGATGTTTTAGGCTATACATCCGACTTGAGGGTTGCGCTCTTCTAGTTTGGTTGCCCTATTTTGGATTGGCAGTGGCAGAGATACTATAGCCAGTGATTTCTCTGGGCACTTTCTTTGAAGGACTGTCCAGTCCACCTCTGGTTTAAGGATAAAAAGTGTAGGAAAGGGAAGCAGGTCTCTTGGGTGCCCTTTTGTCCTGCCTCAAGGCTTAGAAGATGGCAACTTAAATAGCTGTAAGAGATCACATATTCACTATCTTCTCCAATGTGCGAACTATATTGTATTTCTATTTTTTAAAATTGCTTGTGTATTATCTATCTATCTATCTATCTATCTATCTATCTATCTATCTATCTATCTATCTATCTATCTACCTATCTTTAAAAAAATTGTACAAGCATGCACATGTGCAGACACAAACGCATAAAATCTGACCCCTCTTCTTTTCTTTAGAAATAAGAAACTTGCTTGTAGAAAATCGGCTACAGTTGGTCGAAAAGTTAAACTTTTTCCCATATAAAATGGCAGAGTATCTTAACTCCCATTCTTACAAATACCATCCAACTCCTTACTGGGAAGCACTGGTTGAGTTCATACATTGTACTAAGCCTTAGTTTGCTTAACCATGGTTTACTGAATATGGTTTGTCATAAACTATGGCTTGTGAGCCACAATGGTTGTGTTTATCCAATATAACTAGCCACAACATCCAAGCCCTATTATTGCTTAATGAAATGTATTAACTCAGTCAAAATGCTCTCAGATCTCAGCCAGCCAAAGGTTGAGTAATTGAGGAAATCATAGTCATTCGTGTCTATGTTTCTTAAACTGAACTAAGAATCAATGATCCTTGATATATTATCTTGCTGATGAGATGTAACAAAAATTAATTAATGCATGATTGATATACTTTGATTCAGCATTTAGAAAATAAAAAACTAGATTTCCAGAAAAGGAGCGATATTTGTTTTTAAGGTGCCACAACATATTTTTTAATTTTTCTGGTTCTTCTGCAACATTGACTGATTGTAACATAAGCTTTTCTAGATTTGAAACCAGTTCATCAGATGCAGAGAGACAAAAGAAGTGCATTACCTTATTGATCTTATCAAGTCTCTCAATGGGTGTCATAGATCAAGGCTGGGCAATGTATGTTCTGCCAGATACTATTAGACTACGACTCCCAGAGTCCTTGGCCACCAACCAACAGGTATGAAAACTATCAGGAATACTGGAAAGATGAAAAGCTGCAAACACCAATGCTAGGAGACAGATGCAAAGAGACTGGGTTGTAGAACGAAGAAAAGTTTAAAAAGAGAATAGGGAAGATAAAGGAAATTCATCCTCTCAGGACCAAGTGGATAATAAGTCGAAATAATCAATCAGATTCTTCCCAAATCAGAATCAGGCAAAATATTATCAAAGAGAAGATAAGATTGGGAGGCCTGCCATTGTGAAAACCAAGTAAGAGCCAGCAACTGCAGCAAATTATTAACATCTGTCTGTCACCCAGAATACTCTGTGCCTACCCAACAGCCGAAATGAAGGACAATCAAGGAGAGACAAAAGGGATGAAACACTAGTTATCAAGAGGAGAAGAGATGAGTAGTCATTTAAAATATAAAGTCTGGGAATTTATCTAGGTTATTGACTGAATCATTCCAACTTTTTATTAGGCTTTTGTTTATTTAAACCCATGACTAACATCTATCTAGAGGTGGGGTATATGTTGACTTCATAATGTGTAGTTCCACTCTGAATCTGTGTTTTACTTTATTGTCTTTTATTCTCCTACTGTTGTGTTATTCTTCCCTATCTATCCATTTGTACCCAGAGTGGTGACTCACATAAAGTTAGGTCACATGCAACAGTTTAAAGACCCACACTATCTAGCCCCTGATGTGATAGTGTTTTCTCCATGATTCTTCTCTCAATAACGTGGCATGTGGGATTTTCTTCTATCTAACAGATATTATCCTGGCTTCAGTGCAGTGTACCATGATGATTACTTTTATCCTGCATATTTTGCAAGTTTTCTATGAAGTGACGAAGTGATGAAGAGGTGATCCAATTCTAGTTCCTTTTCACCGAATTGAAGAGTACTGAAGTTGCTTTTAAAACAGTTTCTAAAGACTACACAGTTGTAAACTGAAGTTACTGAAAGAGTTCTTTTCCATTGGTAAGCCATGTCTTGTAGATTATGTGACCTTTAGAGTCTCTTATTGTTGTTGTAGATTTAGTTTAGACGACTAGCTTATAACAATGGTTTAAGATGTCATTTTCTTTCCCGCTACCTTTTTGTGTACTAGTTAGAGTCCTTTATGCGTTTGGCAGTCATTTTCCATCCATCTAAAAGTTCCACAATTGACTATTATTACAGATTTTAGTGCCCCAACCCTTTTTCCAGGGTCAGCTTTGAGAAATGTTGCTTTAATCCATCTTCAGCATGATATTCTTGGCAACCAGGGCCTTTCAGCTTCAGCAACTGTAAAGAATTTTAGTGTTTGAGAAGAAATTTATTTTCAACAGATTGTACAGCAAGCTTCTGCTCCTTACTCCCCTTCTTTTGGTGAAATTACTTCCTTGCTTGATTAACTAAATTGAAAACACTGGTCATCTCATGAGTTTATAATGAATTTTATTTTCATAACGTCATAAGGAAGTCGCCCACTTCAAATGGCTTTCTTAAAATGCCACCTTCTTTAAAGCCTATATAGGGAAAAACTCTTTTATGAATGCATCTTAACGGATCCAACCTGTCAGCCCCATAGGGTAGACCAGACTAAGAAACCGATGCCATATAGGTCTAGGGAAAAACTCTTTTATGAATGCATCTTAACGGATCTAACCTGTCAGCCCCATAGGGTAGACCAGACTAAGAAACCGATGCCATATAGGTCTAAAACTATTTTTATTAGAACTATAGTAACAGAATCTTGCAAGTGCCTCCCTTCCTCCCTCTTTTATCTTCTTGTGAATTAGGGTCTGAGGCATTTCCTCAAATTAGTTTCTTGGAATGGACCCAAGCTGTGCTCATATGATAATGTATGGTAACAGATCTTCCCACTGTCCTTCAAGGCCATTCCCTATTTCCTCTACATCACCAGTCCTGTGCCAATGAATGCTTGTGGAGTAGATATTTGCCCTCATTCACTTAGTCCAGTTGCTCCCCGGATCTCAGCAGAGTTGTTTCCACTTCTTGGCAGCCATACCACTGGATATTGGCTACAGCACCAGAAAAGAGCTGTAATCAGCACAGGTGACCAGTGTAACTAAGTGGATATCTTCTGGGATTATCTTGGTTCCCTGGATTATTTTGAAAAGTTGTAAGATTTTGACCATGTATAAAATGATCACTGGTATTCTCCATTATGTTTCCAATTGGATTCAGATTTTTCTTTATGTGTTTTTAATAGTAAGGTTTTTTTTATTTACCAAAAGCAGCCTACATATCAGGCATGCATCCCATAACTCTATTTGTGTTCGGCAGCTGAACACTTGGCTCAGATGCAGTTCCTCAAAAGCCACCCATAACTTAAGCCAGTTTCCAACAGAAATACTGGAGATCTGAGGCAATTTGATATGGGCCATTTTCTCTTAGCAGCTACTTTTGCCTTACTCCATTTCCTGCTTGTGCTCTCCCCCATCACTGCAAATGCTCAGATGTTCTGCAAAGCACCAAATGCCAAATGCATCATGAACTAAGAACATGGATTGGGGCAGGTTACTGGTTTCATGCCATTTTCTGTGCCTGCCAGTTGGCTGGCTGGTGGGCGCACTGCTATCCCCTGCATTCTGGAATCAGCATCAGAGGAAGATCCCAGTCTGACCAGTAACTTACAGGGTTTCTGAGAAGTGAAAATGGTGGTAGTGTGGAAGTTATTTTCTTTATGCTATTTGCTGATCATGTTTCAGAGAAATGTGGGAAGCCTGACCAAGAATAGGCTGCATTTAACAAGTCTATACTGCAATGTGAGACAAACATTAAAGAAGACCACTCAAAATTGAAACAAGTTAAATGGGCAGGATTATTGCTGAATTATGTGGTCTACTTTATGCTTGTTCTTAGCTGTTTTTCCCTTCCATGACAAGAGGAAGTTTACTATAATATGTTACGGTACTAGTTTCAAGTATGTGTCATAAAGAAATTATGGTCTATAAAGAAATCACTGTAAGCTCCTAACATAATGCATTCATTTAATTTTTAATATATTTCCTTTGGACAAACTCAGTGTTCCTTTTCCACACAGAAGATTCCAGTTCCAAGACGCCTACCACAGATACTTAAAGGGAAATGCTGGTTGCACACAGAATAAGCTGTTATGCTCCTTGCTGCTTCCTCTTAGTGACCAAGACAAGACTTCCTTGAAAGTTCCTGATCTGGTGAGGTTACTTCAGTTGGATTCTCTTTCTGCATTAAATAAAATTAGAACACTGTTATTCTCTCAACAGTTGTTTTTCTCTTTTAAAGACTTACCAAACAGCAATCTCCTTGGGGAAAGATTCTCTTCCTACATGGTTAGTTTAATTTGTTTTATCCTCTGTCTGATGATGGGGGAAGATGACGTTCTCAAAGAGAGAGACTTTTCAAGGAAAAGTAAATGTTTACATATCTAATATATGTGGGGAGGGAAAAAGAGCATCCTAAATAGCTGGCTTCCTGAAATAAACATGAAGGGGGTGGTATGTAAGATGTACTACCTGAACTTCATTCTGGATGGATGTTACAGTACCTAATTGAATAGACCTTGAACTGAGAACATCTGACTTCTGCAAATATTCTCAGAGGAGAATTGAAAATAGATGCACATGCTTCTACATTACAATCAGAATAATGACCTTCTCTGTCATGTGTCTCCTTATAGTTGGACAGGTAGAGATTTAATATTTTCCTGTTTGACAATTGCTCTTGCAAATATTCTCCCTTGGACTTTTTATTATTGGTTTGCTTATTGGACACATCCTTCACTCTCAGATTCCAGGATGGGGCATAAAGGGCATAATTAAACATGCCCTATAAATAAAGCCATGCCCTACTTTTAAGCATCTCTGTAGACTACATTCCATCACTACAATGCACTACACTTTTGGCCATAAATTAAGCACTAGAACCTACATTTTGAAGCAGATAAAAAAAGGAACAAAACATCTTTTACATCTATTGTACTTGGAAATGAGACTAACAATTCTCTCAAATAAGCTAAGTAGAAATGAAAGTGGAAGGAAATCCTATGCACTTTCATTCATAATACCTGGAAATCAGAGTCAAGCACACATCAGTGAAACTTTCTTACCCCCTTGTCAGAGTGATAACTGGGTCAAAGAGCCACAGTGATTTACGCTTTTCTCCAAAGAACCTGTCAATGTTCAGGAACTGGACAATAGGAAAGAAAAAAGTTAATGTACTCTATTTATGTATTCAAGAAAAGTCTCTCCCTTATTGAACATTAAAATCTGAATAATATTTTTTTAAAAAAACTGCTGAAAACTAAGTGTGGCCCCACTAGAGAAAGTTTTACTGTCTGTATTTAAAATAATCAAGGGTGAAAGTGTGTGTGTGTGGGGATGCCTTTTCTTTTCTGATACTGCACAGAATAACATGTTATAGTTCTGTAAATATTATAGTTCTGAATAGTGGGCATCATAACAAAAACACAGAGAGAAAATGCACATTTCCATATCTACAAAGTTGTTCATGTTAAAGACCAACTTTGACATATCTTTTGACTACCAGCTCTTTTTCTGCCATTCTAGATGAAAGTGGTCTTCAAGTTCATTACTGAGGTTTAGAAGATGGTGGGGGGAAACCATAAGGATTTCTGATCCATGACCAAGCCAGAATAACTTAAAATAAAACTTATTTGGTTACTGTAAAACACAAATTGAACACTTCTTCACTACTCATCATCAGGATGTGGTTCCATTTCTGGCAATGCCATCTCAACTTGGCACTGAGTCCAAGACAGAAATTTAAACAACTTGTATTTAGTTGATGATTTTGTTCCCTTTCTATATTTTATTCCTCCTGCAATACTGATGCCCTCACTCACCTTGGACTTCTTCAGCAGGGCTTTATGAAGCACAATATTTAAAGGATTATTTCTTTAGAAAAATGATGCATATTCTTTTGTAGCTTCTACTGCAAATGTAGTGAAATGTCCAATTTAAAGCAAAGAAACAGTGAATATCTCAAACCAAAGGTAAAACCAACCGATTATAGAATTAAATGTAGGTCATTCAATTCTGTGAATAAATTATTATTATTTAGTTAAATTATATTTTCAATCTACAATATATGATTTTCACTCTGGGGAAAAAGTCCTATTGAAGATTACAGTACTGTATTGTTCTTTCTTAGATGCATCCCATTTGACCAGCTAGGAGGGAAAAAAAATCTCCATCCATCATCACTCTTAAATGGCCTAGGAACCCTATCATGGCTACCAATTGCCCTTTTTCAGCACTGCCCTAGAATATCAAAACTGAGACTTCTCAGCAAGTTTTAGATACAAGATTAACAGGATAGAAAAGAGATGTTGTTGGATCATCTTAAACTACCCCAAAACTTGACACATGCCAGTTCCAAATAGATCAAATTGCCAAACTCTTAATTTTCCAATTTCCAATATATCATTTTTCTTCCCGAATTTGGCTACCAATACATTTTAAAATATTAAAAGCCAACCTCGTCCTTCATGATGTTTGTGTTTCACTTTTACAGATGGGGATTTTTTATGACAGTGGCTTCCCAATATGCAAGGCACCTTTCCCCTCAGTTCTGATTTGATTAACACATCAAAAGCAGCATTGGGAATGTTCTCCATCTCTTCTGAACAGATTCTCTCTTCTTGGTCATTCATATCAAAACTTCTTGAGGATTTAGGTCACTTTTCTTTCAAAAGCTGATACACAAGAATTAATTACCAGCATGGACAGCGTTAGCCTTCCTGTTTGGTCCATACTTACAGCTGCTAACCCTCACTCTATAAATATGTTACTTATTCTGGAAGTTTATCAGCTTCAAATTCACTAACTTGCTTTTCAGTAGCTATCCCACTTCTTTCAGCATTGTTTAAAGAAGCAAGAGATGTTTGGAAGAAAAGTCCATCTAAGTGGCTACAGAATTTGTAAAAGAGCTTGTACTTTATAGACCCAAAATGGATGAAGATCTTGTCTGATATTAAATTTCTGGGATCTAACATTAAATCCTTGGGGCTTTTATACAAACTGTTAAGTTCTGGATAGTTGTGTTTTTCGGGGTACTTACTTCCTCTTTTCCAGGGCACAAATTGGTTTGCTTCTGTGGATTTAAGGACACTTACTTTCATACTGCCATTTCAACTAAAGTACAAGCATTTCCTTAGTTTGCAAACGTCAGCGAATGCTTCCAATTCTGTTTCTTCCCATTTGGCCTCTTCAAGGCACCAGTGGTGTTCACAAAGTGTTTGGGAAACTTTGGTCACATACTTCTGATTGCTGGGTATCCATATGTATCCATAACTTGATGAGTTGTTTCTCACTGTTCTGCTTTGGTGCCCATTACGTCAATATACAGGTAATATTCTCTTTCTTAGACTCTATGCCAATCCCAAGGTATCTGGCCTTCTCAGACCATTTAGTTCATCTTGGCTCTTCCTGATTCTGTTCAGTGAAGGCTTACTTCTAATCATTAGGCTTCTACACCCTATTCCATCACTGGGTCAATTCAATATCAAATCAGTTCACATTAGGCTGGTGTTCTGAACCTTTTTGGTCATATGGCAGCAACTTCAGTCACCCTCTTGCTGGACTGAATATGAAGATTGTGCAGTTGAGTCTCCCACAGACATGGAATCCCTGGATATCTCATTTTCCAACCTTACTGTGGCATTTCTTGGCTTGGGGGGTGGATTACAATAAACTCCTTTGGGGTTGCCCATTTACTTTCCTCATCATCCACTCAGGTGAAGGACAGTGTGCTAACTAAATGTACTAACCACAGCTACTACTTAAACCTCTTAGCATTGTCTAGAGTTATCTTAGCATGTGAAATCATTCTCAGGAACTATGTGGTACAGAGTAGTTTTCTTTATGAATAGAGCAGAACATGATCCCACAAAGCCTCTGCACCTTATACCATAACTATGGAACAATTCTCTCTCCCATTGCATCACATTTGTCATGGAGCATTCAGCAAATATATAGAACATCTTGCAAATCAGCTCAGCAATTTCAGGAGTGGCTATACTTTATAGTATGATAGCATTAGACTTCTTCTCTGATGTGGTTGATTCAGCTTCAGATATTCACATATTGATGTCCTTTGTGTTGGTTAATGACCGCAATAAAGTCTTTCATCTTTCTCTAACTGGGAATACTGTTCATCAACTTGTTTGCAGCCAAAGACAATATCAGCGCCTGAAATACTGTAGCAAAGGTGGTAATGTACATAGCAGTAATATCTCTCAAAAAGGGATGTGTTTTTCCAGTGCTGGAATAAGACTGTTCTATGTGACTGTCCCATTTCTTCCTATAATCAGGGTTCTTCAGAGATTACACTGCACTCTGTCCCCCTGCATTCTGTTAGCTCTCTGGTAACCAGGCAACTATAGTCCTTAGCCTTACCTTAGCAGTCTCATGGGACTTACTGCAGACTCCTGATGAAGCAGGATCCCTCCTTTGGGAGTGAGTTTGAATTTATCAGCTGGACCTGAACAGTTTCACAATTCAGTTTGTGAAAGGTGTAGGTTTTGACAGAGAGTATCCTTGCAGCCTCACTTCCTACAATAACACAGACATTTATAATTTTTCACACTTTTTCCATCGTCTAACACCACAGAAGACTACATAAAATATATGCTTTATGGCCATACCAGTAGTAGCTTGGATTTATTCTATCGTCTTGTTGGTCATTTCGTCCAAAATCTTTGGCTTTGGAAGCTCTAAGGTTACTGACCAATAAGGTCAACTTTCTTATTGCAGTTGTCTTCGCTGGACAAGCAAGACAGATTTGTGCTGTTTGAGTGGACCAGTTTCTGTTCATTCTATTTGCAAATCCCAGGAACAAAGGAGTTCTTTGCCAGGATACTCTTTCAAAGGCCACATCCAATTTCCATCTTAATCTGCATACTTTACCACCTACAGTAGTATCATCTGATCTCAAATGATTCCTCCATGCAAGAGATGCTAGGCAGGACTTCATCTTTTATATTGTTTTGGTAGCACATTTTCATCAGTTACTCATTTCTTCCTGTTACTTAGGATGGAACAAGAATCTCCTAGGATCTTCACAGTGTTTCTCCTAATGGATGGACACTATTACTCTGCTTATGAAGTGACCACAAAGCTATACCATTGGGTATTTAAGAACACTCTTATGAGTGCTAATAAAGCTTCCACTGCAGAGTTCTGGGGCTGACTTTTGCAAAGCACTACTTGTCCCAGTCTTCCACTTTCATCAGACATTATTAGGTTAATACCAGGGCACTATATGTTGCTGCATTCAGAAATCCTGGGGGGATGGGGGTGGTGGTTTCTATTCTTGCTTAGGATGAACACCTATTTTTCCATCTAAGTAAGTGAATTTGCTAAATATGTACAGTACACAGCTGAGACCATAAATAAGAGCTTACTTCAAATGTTACTTTCACACAACCACCTAATTTTCCTTTCCGTAGCTGCTGTTCTTATATAATGTACTTGGGTTTCATGGTTGCTTCAGCACTTACAATGAACAGATGGAAAAAGTGAGAATTGTCTTGCCTTGTTTTGCATAAGCAGTTCTCACCAAAACTCCTCTATTTTAGAAGGTTCCAAACATCAAATCTGTTCATATAATCCATACATATGAATGCCCACTTGCCACTTGGAAATTCCCAGGTAAGCAACCTGTTTTCTGTTAATCCTGATGTTATAACTAGGGTTGATAGAATTTTAACAGAAGTGATTTGCATTATAATGCTATAATTCAGATTCAGAATATCTTTCTCTCGAAGCATAATTAAAACATACATATAAAATAGACCGATGACATCAGATTTGACAGGAAAGTCCCTTCCTTAGCCAGGCTGGAACGAATGGCCATTTAGTTCTAGCCATTCCAGAATTGACTTCTATTGTCCAAGATTGTTCCACTTAGTCATATTAAAAGAGGGTGCTACTTTCTTCTACCCCCTTCCACTTTTCCCCAAACCTTTGAATTTATTGTTTCTCATAGTTGCCTACTGATGTCAAAGGAAATGGGATCAAGAAAGGATTTTGACACAACTAATATCCATAAAGTGGTACAAAGATCTTCCTGTGCTATCTTTTAATTTTTTCCTTAAGAAAGGTTATAGCTACCGTGCTTTCAAATCCCATCTTGACAGTTGCTGAAATATCCAGAGGAACACTTATCTATTACAGCAATCAAAACTGTTTATTTTAAAACTATGTGAGAAACCAAATTGGAACAAAATATTATGTGTTATCCAGAATAACATGGAGTTGACAAGCCACTGCTTGTTCTATACCTTGTTCAAGAACAGATGTTTATCTAAAACAACAGAATCAAATTATGTATCTTCAATAAATGTTGAACCATAGTCTCCTTCAAGGTGGTAGGTACCCACTCTTACAACTTGTCACTGATAATATCAAGGTTCCTTGTGGACATCTTAGAATGACACTGCCAAAATTGACTCAAAGATTATTCTTATATTACCAGCAAGATGCAAAGTACCACTATGACATGATTGCTTCCACATAATGTTTGAAGGAAGTGGATTATATGGGTGTAGATCGTGATGTGGTCACCTCCCAATGCTAGTGTTACTATGTAAAGTATGAATTATTCCTTAATGGAGTAACCTGAGAAAGCAAACACGTCACATTGTTAACCTCAAGAATAAATGTTTAGACTCTTTTGAGCATCCAGCACCATGGTTTTACATTAACATATAACCTCATGGCCATGAAGTGTAATTTTCACTGCTTCTGATGCAAAGGTAAGCTCACTAATGAAACTGTATGGCAGATAAAATAAAAATAAAGCATATTTTCCAAGTAGGAAGCTGGTAGAAAGAAAAGATCAACACATGTCTAACTGTGCATCTATTTTTTCCCTCTCTTTTTTAGCCTATTGCATTAACTATATGGAATACATCAATTAGGCAGAAACCACCTTAAAACAGAAATTGAAAGGTTTTTGAGTTTTGCCTCTGGATAATTCCATAGTGATGCATACCCTTGACATTTGACAATGATCGGAAGAGAGTTATGGCATTTGCGGGCTGTTCGCTTTACCCGCATGCCCACACATTTCCTCTCTGTTGTTGTGCTTTGGGATTTGATTTTTTCTGGCCTGGTTTGGAAGAATAAAGGATGCTTCAGGAATGTAATATTATGGACAAGAAGGGCCAGACATGTAAGAATCCTTATATGGTTTGGCACCCATTTTCTGTGCCACTGATAACTTAACTGGTATAACCCACCCAACCATTTGCAGTGGTTATGACTGGTTACTCTAAGTATATTTACATTCTGGTTTGTGTGGATATTGCCTTGTCTGGCTCATGGTGAAGCAGTCTTTGCTTTATGGGATCAAAAAGGAAATGAACTGAATGTACTTCTTACTCCATGTTTTTAAAGAGACTCTGAATTAGAGACGCAGGGTATATCCAGGAAAAAAAAACTTGGTTTATTTCTCTCCATCCACTCCTGTTTCAAATATAAAACAACAGGAAGCAATCTCAACAAATAATGTTGTATGAAAGTGCTAAGTAATAAAAAGATATGATAATTGCAATTGAGCATGCCAGTTTTATGTTCCCTAGAGAGCTACCAGCAGTGAATCAAACTGCAGATTAATAATTGATGCTTAGTCTCAAGAACTGGAAAACAGCAAGGATTTATTTATCCTTTGATGTACATATGATTATGTCACACAGAAATTGCAGAGAAAGAGAAACTGTTTGCAGTTCTTGAAGGGGGATGCCACTGGCCAACGTAAGAGTTTTAAAAGTTAGAAAATCCCCCTTAAGTAAGTTCTGGGGATAGGTTTCTCCATGTCTTTCATACTGAAACAATTATTTGCATTGAGGATGCAAATTAAAATGGTTGCTTTCTTTCATTACATTTAACTGAAAAGTTGTGGAAGACCTAATCCAAATTCTTCTGCTCTCACTCTTCCAATATTTATTGCCTCAGGCAGAGCAAGGCTTGGTCCTGTAGGACTTCATGGGAGACAAGGCCTCCATTCACACATCGTATTTAGCTTGGTCAGTTAAAGACCTAGTGGTTGCATTGTTATAACAGACTTAGTTTGGTTGTTAGTGTGTGTGATTTAGGGTATCATTCAAACCAAGTCTGGATGGTTAGTTTATGATTCAAAGTATTGTGTGAATCCAGAAAATGGATTATTTCAGTCATCAAGAATATTATTGTATAAATAATAGTATAACAAGAACCAAGGGAGACTGCACGTTGCATATCTTATCTGCATGTTCTTGGTTAGCATCTACTTTAAAGTCAGACTGAGACTTGAAAATGAACTTTTTCCTTCCTTTATACACAAAGTTCTTTCAAAGAACAAGAAAATAAATCAGCAAACAAGAACAGCAGTACAGCTTCTCTTCTTTCTCTTCTTTCATACAGATTCATCATTTATGTAGCTACCTGTTGGTTTATTCTTTTATATGAGAGTTCTTGTTGGCTGTTCTTTGAGGGAAAGGGCAGTGTATAGTATAGGAGGACTAGGTGTTCCCCTGCTGAAGCTGAGTTGAGCTCAACAGTGTTTAGATGAGCAATAAAAGGTGAATCCCACATTACCCTATCAAGCTCAGGACTATTATCTAGCTGGTTCACTGTGATTCATGTCAACCAGTTAATTTGTTTCTAATTGCTAAGCAAAGGCAGTCTGACATATATAACAGCCTGTAACCAGAAACTGGTCACATCGAAGTCAGGCTCTCCACAAAGAACAGTGCCCCTGTCCTTTGCAAGAAGTCCCTGCACTAGCTTCTGGCAGGACATGTTGAGGGTAAAGGGGCAGCAACCAACCCTCTCCAAAGATGCATGGTGATGTCAGCCCAGAAGCATCAGGGATTAATCACAAGATGAGGTGCTGCCCACACTAACTGGAGAGCTAATGGGGAAGAGGAACAATCTGATCATAAGGCCTGATGGTCTTACCCCCTGCCACTCAACTTGTCCTGCCCTTTATTGCTCAGGAACTGATTGTTACCTAATTTAACTGTTTTAGCTATTTAAGAATCCCAGAGATAAAAAACAATCAGTAATATTTTACCTGATATATATTTGTATGCCTTCTCCCCCCCGCCCCCCCAGCACTGAAACTCACCTCTTTATTACAGCGTTGAGCAAAACATATATTGGATGGGCTTCAGGAAACCCTAACTTTTGGATGCAGACAACCACATGAAAAAGGGACTGGAATGCATGTGCATACATATACGTGTGGTTTCCCAGCTGGAAGTCTGTGGCCAGGAACCTGCTTAGAGGTTCTTTGCTAGGGATAACTGTGTGTTTTAGTCTATACATTTAAAAATATTGATAGTTAATATATTCGTATGTATCTAGGTCATGAATGCCATCCAAGTTTGTGTGACGTTGGACAGTACCACTGCAGTTAACAAAAACCACAGTGGGTGCAAATGTAGTCCAAGTTGTCCTTTTCTTATTATTTGTTTTTCCTTACCAAATGAGGAGACACTTACATCCACAAGAGGAAGGAAAGCCAACTGAGGGTAAATTAAAAATATATGTTGAAGAGCTGAACTCTTTCAACCTGACTGAAACAGTGTACTGCATGACCTGAAGCAGCATGCAATTTGGGTGAGTAACTGAATACAATTATCACCAAAAAGGAATAAACAGATAGCTTTTCCATTAAGAAAAACAAAATTAATAGCAGAAATGAACTGTAGTGATTCGTCTGACATGCTTGTATACTTTGTGACCTGCCATACTGATCCTCAACTGTAAAAGAGAAGGAACCTCAAGCCAGGATATATGTTTGAGTAGTCAAGCTCACTTATTACCTCCATCACCACCATTCTTACTCAGTACAGACTTGTTTAGCTGTTTCCCAGTAAGACTTATAACGTGCAATTGCACTTTCTTCGTGGAGAGGGTCCAGACATTGCCATCTTCCATTTGTAAACCAAATGTGCTTTCCATTTTTTCCTTATCATTTATTTGAATTAATAATGATTTTTAAAAATCCAATTTGGGGGGAAAAGTTGCTACGCATTTTGATTAATAGTGCTAATAGTCCTTTAGTCAGAAGTGCCCTTAGAATCCAAGTTCGTATTACTTGAAAGACAGAGCAAGGATTTGTATTTTATTCAAATGCAAATTGAAAGGATTGGTCCAGATTGTGATCCTAAGACAGTAGGAAGAAGGAGCTGAAACCCTGCAGTCCAACAGAACAAGGATCTCAATCCAATTTAGAGCCATAGCTGATATACAAAGTTAAAGCCAGCCCTGCTACTCACACCAGGGTTCTGATCCAAACTGGGTCCTTCATGTTTACTTCTGAATCATTAGGGGGAAAAAAGATAGTAGCTAGATTTTTGAAGACCTGGACTTAAGCTGATTGGAGCCTCCAATTAGCTGAACATAAAGGACAATTCTAGCCTCTATCAAACTCTACTCTCAGGTTGCTCCCTTGCATTATTATCCCCTGCCTGACTTCTCTCACAGCTGCCTTTGTCGCTCCAACATTCTTTGGATGCCTCCAGCTTCCCCATGCCCTACCTAATTTTTACCTCTGTCCTTACTAATGGGGTGAGGTAAAAATTGCTTCTGGGATTTAACTTTCTGCCTGAATCTGATTATGTACCTTCTTCTGGCTCTTGGATCCTGGTATGCATTTTTTAGACTCTGACCTTGCCTATTTTGAACCACTCTTTTATCTCCAGTCCTAGAGCTGACCTTTTATCAGAAAGCCTGGCACAGCCATGCGGGATGACCCAGCAGGGCTTAACAAACCATTGTTTCTGCTGCTTCCCTAATTCACACAACAAACCATGCCAGATAATTGTAATGAGCCACATTTACTTTCTTTGCAAGAAAACTAACATAAAATTGTATTTTTCTATAGGCAGGAAAGGTCAGCTTTATGGGGGCAGACCTGATGTTAAGGGCTCTGCCATTTCCCCTACAAGAACTTTTTAGGTCTTTAAGGACCTCTGGAACAGAAGGGGTTTTAACCACATATGGGAACTGAAGAACAGGGATTCCTTGAAAGTGGTTTTATGGACAATGTCATTATATAGTTTAGACATTAGGTAACACTGGAAAGAATAGATTTTCTACACATTTTCTGTGATCATACATGTTTTAAGTAGGGCAGTTACAAACCTAATGGCTGCATTCACCCAACGTGTTAAGTTTGGTTTGTTTTAACTTTGTTTAGCCTTTTCTATGCTGAAAATGCCCTGTGAACTCAGCCCATTTGATTTATGGTTTTTTGTATTGTGCCAATCCAGAAAATGAGTTACTTCAATAAGCAGTTTGTAACCACTGTGTTAAAAATTTCATTGTATCAAATAAAGTTTCATTTTAAATCCACAGATTCTTAATGAGGAAAATAGCACAGTTCTCTTCTCTACACTAACACCAGAAGTATTGCTTATTGTAATTTGCTTTAATCAAATCACCGGGAGACCTTTGAGAATTGGAGAAGTACAAGACAGATAGCTAGAAGTTTAACAATGCTGATTTATACAAAAATGCATAGTTTATTTATACAAAAGGTGAGAAATCTATTCATGCATTCACAAATCAGCTCACCCATGAATGTCACTAAAAGGACATAGGCTCCGGTAGATGTTCATGCGTCTGCAGAAGAGAACCTTTCTGGCACCCAATTGTACCCGTTATCAGGCTACGTATTATTCTGTCTCAGGTAGAAACCAAACTGGCATCTCTCCTACAATCATTCACACTCAAAGTGTGAACAAACAATCAAAAGAGAGAGGAAGGGTTGTGACCTCAGTTCCATTCTTGAACTTCCAACAAACAAGCTTAGAATTAAAATTATGCTTTAATTCTATGTCTTTTTGCACATGACTCCATTTGACAGAATCTGCTGTTCTTTAAAATAAAATAAATCCCATAGATGTGAAGGATGCCCTCCACTGCATTAAAGTATTAGGTATTCCTGACTGTGCTATGTCCCTTTTCTTTTCACCCACACATCAATGTGGGGGGGCCCTGCTTTCCAGATAAGTTTCTTGTATTGGTAACTTTAACTGAGACTGAAAGAGAACTGTGGAATTGCTTGGATTACAATTTAGTTTAAACTGATGTTATAAAAAACACCGCTAGAGTGGATAGTTACCAAACTCTGACTCTTCTGGAAAAAGTAGCTACCTCAAGCTGTTAGCAGGAACTATACAGGACCACATCTGTCCACTCACTTCCTGGAAAGCACATTGTCTGCCAGTCATCTACAGTCTAGACAGCCACAATATCTTACGCTGCAGGCATACTTGAAATAAAAACCACCAGACAGGAAGGTGGCTGCCAATGGGTTTGTATCCTGAGCCATTTTCACCAAGGATGCTTAAATACAAAACTATACTTTGCCCACTCATTTGTAAGTTGTAAGAATGTAAAATCTGTACTGTCCATAATGCACAATTTAGTTCAGATTTGACATTCCCCTATTTTCTACTGTACAGAAATAATGTTAAGGGCTGTGACAACTATCAGCCTTTAGAGCCATTTCCCTTATTAGTCACTTACTTTTCTAGAGTCATCCAACCATTTTTATACCAATATAACTACTATGAGGACAGACTTTATATCACTTGGGTGATGCAAGAAGATTCTGTACCTAGCATAGAAATGGCCTTACAGACAAATTACAACATTCAAATTACATTTTGGCTTAGCATATTGTCTGAATCTGGTCATGTACCCCAAAATTCCTAAACTCCTATTTTAACTTTTAAGATGTTACTCATATCTAAAGAAGTACTTTCCTTTCTGCTCTGAGATTCGACCCAGCATTGGCCTGAAGACAGCTTTAATTTTCTTGAAGGATGATCTGTACTAGGAAAGAGAGAAGTGCAACTTGCTGATACTCCTGGGTTTTTTTTTTTTTTTGATACTGCTGACCATTGCTGTTCAGCTGGACTTCTGTTCAGCTACTTGGACATTATCCAATGCCCTTCCCAATAAAATTACATTTTATCTCTCATGATATGAAACCCATAAGAAGTCACTGGGAAAATTCTAAGCGAATTCTTACCAGTATACTGATGATACTCAGATGTATTTCTCCCCTCCTGCAAGTCCAAAGGTGGATGTCTTGAGAGCCACCACATATCTTTGGAATGTAAAGACTCAATGTGAGATAATACGTTGAAGCTGAATTTGAACAAGATGGAGTTGTTAGCGATGCTGGGGTGGACTTTCAGAACTAATATAGTCGCCCTTCCCCTTAAGGATCAATTCATAGCTCAAAAGGTCCTCTTGGATCTGGCATTTATTCTGGACTGCACATTTTATCAACGATGGTGATGGGATTTATATCAGCTTTGGCTGATAGATGGATTATTCTATTCTTAGAGAAAGGAAACCTGCATTGGTAATTCAAATAATAATAATAATAATAATAATTATAATAATTATTATTATTATTATTTCAAACTGCATGGTTGCAATGTGGTTTGCACGGCATGGCCTTTAAAGATGATCCAGAAACTGCAAGTAACTTAGAATGGAGGAGCACAAATGATAAGTAGCAACACTGATTATTTATTGATTTCTGATGCCAATTCATTACATAGATTTCTCCTAAACCATGGCTGGCTGAGGAATTCTGGGAGTTGAAGTCCACCCATCCTAAAGTTGCTGAGGTTGAGGAACCCTGTCCTAAACTACTTCTAGGACCACTTCTGTGTAATGTTCCCCGCCTTTTAAGATCTTGCACAAGACACCTTACAGATCCTGCCACAGATCTATTTAACATAATCAGCCATCTTCCTTCTTTTCCTTCTCCTGGGCCTGTTCTGAATTTAAGGCTGGCCTGTTCCCTGAAACATTTTAGGTGGTGGGAATAAATAATTTATTATTTATTAATGTACTTATTCTGGCCTTTTACAGAAATTTATTTTTAGAGTCGTTAGGCTGCTAGTTTTTAACAGTGTGCTAGTTGGAAGTTTACTGCATAGGCATTTTAAGCTGTCTAGAGCCACAAATGAGAATAGACAACATTAACATTTTAAATGAACAAATAAACATTTTCAGTATGATGATCATTTTTAACAACCAACAAGAGTTGTCAAACTCAGCTGAGAGCTTATGTAGAGTTATACAGTATAGACAATCTAATTAGTAGAATCAGAAAATACTTATGAATAATTTATTTAAGATTGTCAGATTAGCAGAGGTCTCAGAAGTAACCTGCGTTCCTTATGCTGGCGTTTACATCAAATACATTTTAAAAAGTATTACTCCAGAGCTATTTTGGACTTAAAAGATTTGTGCTTTGCTGATGTCATTTGCTTTGTTTCTTCTATGGACACATCATCATCTCCACATATTGAAGTGGAGAAAGAAAACAGGAATATGGAACCAGACAGTCTACCTCCTACACTGATGTCTAAGGGGGAAACTTACCCAGTCTTTAGCCACTAACAAACACCAGCCAATCTGGCACCTATTTTGTTTGTACAATTAATGCTAAATTATACATACCGGGCAACCTCATGTATCTTAAATATGTGTTTGACTTCTTCACATATATTTGGGGGTGTGGCCTTCTAGAGATAGGGAACTTGTCACTCTTCAAAAGCTGAACTATAACTTGCAGTCATGCAGATTGCATCTGCTAAAAGCTGTAATTCTGTAACATCTGGAGAGCAAAGCACTGGCCACTCTTATTTAAATAAAAAGAAGGGAGACTAAAACCAAACTCGTTACCCTTTTTCTCACTGCACTTCCATTTTTTCTATAATTCTCATGTAATTTTAAGACTGAATTCTTCAGAATCCTGTTCTCACGTTAAGAAATAAAAATAAACTACTTTCCTCATTTTCCCTGACATGGGTGAATTGGGATTTATATTAAGCATGCTGGTTTCACTAATTCAAAGTCAAATCCTTTTTCATGGGCTACGGCAGTGTTTTTCAAACTTGGCAACTTTAAGATATGTGGACTTCAACTCCCAGAATTCCTCAGCCAGCATGGCACTCCAGAAACACCAACTCTTTGTATTTTTTATCCTGTTGACCACTAAGGGCATCAAAAGTGGAGACAGAAGAACAAAGAAGAAATCCTTTGCTTGCTATTTGTCTCTGCTCTCCTTTTTCTTGATTAGAAGATGGATACTCTTAGCTTGCTTCTTCCGCCTGATTCCTCCAGGAAGAATAAAGTACTTTCTTTCTTTTTCATTTTCCCCCACCAGGAGGAGAGAAAGCTCAGAGTTGCAGGCGCTCTTGTGGAGAATATGATTTCCTTAGTAAACTTGTTTTTTAGGATCTTTAGCACTTATTCCTAGATATTTGAGATTCTATTCACACACATATGCTCTGCTAAACAGGGACCACAGTGAATGAAGTAGAAGATTTCAACTAGGGTTACCTCAGCATTTCTCTACAAAGGAAATGTGGCTTTTAGTTGCTAGAAAATTACAGAAAGCCAGGGTGCAATGGCTAAAAAAGAAAAAATACTGTAAAAACTTATTTTAAAATACGACGTGAGGAAACAATGTGTCCATTTCTCCCTAATGTCCATTAAACATGAAAGTATCTCATAGTGGTGATTCATATCATTTGTATAATTATACATCAGTTACATAATGACATCATTGCACAAATGAAGTAAATCACCATGGATGCCATTAAAATTAAAGGAAATGTAAGCCTAACTGTCTTGTCCAAACTACTTTGGATGCAATGGATTTGCTGTTATTTCTGGGGGTTGTTCAGATGGAAATTAGGTCCAAAGTTCATTAAATTAAATGGGGATCCATTAAATCAAGATTTCATGTCTGTACCTGTTGAATTATTTACATATTTATAATTAAACCCAGCATTTTTGAGCTAATGATTGTAGGTTAACCCCTTCCCCAAATTATAGATTGCAACATTACATTATGTAATAATGTATTTTTTTCCCATATGTTACATCATAATTGGGATCAGGATTATCTTCGTATTGCCTTTGGATGAATTATCAGAGCTGGTCTAAATTAGAGGTAAAATAAGAAACTGCCTGAAGTACAAAATAATCAGTCCAGAAAATCTGTCTTGGCATTGTAAATTACTTGGAGAAAGGCATTTTGATTTTTCCCATGTTTTCGTTTTGTCTATATACAGGACATCTGCAGACCTATGGTCCCTGGTACTTGTTCTAAAAGCCACATAATTGATTTCCCTGCCAATACTCCCACCAACTTCAATAGCCAGAGCTTTTCAAGATTGGAAAATCCCACCACAAGGGGGATGTCAGGGGCCCAGCAGAGGCTAAGGCAAAAGAATCTATAAAAAGTGTAGAAGGAGTCTCTACTTCTACACTGCTGGTGTGCTACTGGCATGCTTTGGGGTTCTTGGAGTACTCTGAGATCACAGTGCTTCAAACAATGTTTTGAATTGCTCTGCCATGGTGGAATTATTCAAGAATCCAGAAACAGGACAGATGGATGGATTTATTGTTTTACTGGATTTATAAACTGTCCCAATACCAAAGAACTCTCAATGGTACATGATGACAAACAAAACATAATAAGGGACCCAAATCAATATCATAAACGAAGAGTAAAAAAAGGATAATCCCGTAAATAAAACACCAGATAGGCTCTCACAGTTAGTTTACTGGGACTAGAGCATTGGTTCTCAACGGGGGCGGTACCGCT